CATTAACTCCTGAAACCGGATAAAATCGGCTGTTTCAATTAGACCAAGGGCGGATCCAGAATTTTTTTTAGGAGGGGGTGCACTCTTCTCTTGCTCTACTTCAACACCAATAAATCACATAGTTTTTTTTTTTTTTTGGCAGAATACCAGTTGTATTAGAAAACCGCAGGTCATCTCAGGGGGAGTGTGCACCCCCGGCACCCTCTCCCTAGATCCGCCCCTGTAGACGCTGGGCACATTCCCTCAATAAATTGGGATCCATTCGCAAAACTGAGCGACGCACTCGAAAGTTTGTGCAGTCAAAATATCATAAAATGGCACAATGATGAGACCATGCACCCCTCGAAAGCACGTGGTTCTCGTTAAATAATTCATGTACGACTACATGTATAACGCCTGATTCGAAGTCTGTTGCAACCGAAACAACTCATAGTCAGCAACATTTTCATTAACATCCTGTTCCAATCTTCTCGAAAGATCTATTAGGTGTAGACGAAGGTTTTGCAAGAAATGCGATTGCTCAGGTGTCAAGCTCATTTCTTAGAAAAACGATCAAGGTCGATCAACTCAACGACGAGCGGCCATTTTTGATCGATGACCCGGAGACACTGGGGAGGAGTTTCCAGACTCTTTTCGGGCCTTCCTGGGTAGAAACGCCTGGTTGAAAGTTCGCAAGTCATTCTGTTGGGCAGCGAAAGCGAATTCAAAAGTCATTTTGGGAGTCAGAATCGCGTTTCGTGTTAGGTGCAGTGAAGCACAATAGCGCGTTTTCGACAGTGACGCGGGTAAACATATCCATGGAGTCGAAATCCCGATGTAAAAAAGGATCCTTCGTTTCTTTTATCAAATGATCCTCGTGTCACGTATTTTGCAAGTAAGCATGCAAACAGATTTCAAAAGTAATGATGTTTTTTTTTTTTTAAAAAAAAACACTTATTTACGAAATTGATAATCGAATAATCCTTCGCAAGTAAGCACACAAAAAAGTGATTTCAAAAGTAATGCGGGTGAGTTTAAAAAATCGTATTTAAGAAATTGCTTTATTTGGTTCCATAGAAAGTATGCAAAAAGATTTCATATTAAAGTAATTATGCATGCACGTAAACCATTCTCAAATCAACTCGAGTAAGAAGTGTGGATTTGAAAGTCATGACAGGACGAAAGGATTCCATCGCAAGACAGCACGTCAAAACAGGTCACAAACCAACAATCATCATCTAAGACAATCATTTATTTGGCAACTCAGTTTGTGTGGCAACTACACACTTATTTTTGACCCTGAAAACGCGCCAAATTGTGATCGATTACGACGTCAGCGGCGTTTTCACATCAAAAAGGCGTTAAAGGACGTCAAAAGAGGAATAAAATATAGTGATACCTACTATACTACTGCACATTCATTCTGGACGTACGACTTAAAAAAAAAGGAAAACAGATCAATTTTTCAGATCAGTTGTGGGTAGCATAGATCATCTATTTGTGCGAATGAAAACTTTCCTGTTTGCATATTAATTTTTATGTATTCTTGCCAATTAGCCAGCTTATTAGTGATCATTGGGAAATCAGAAAAGACTAGGAATGACTGTCATTGGAAAACTGAAAAGCAAAAGCAGAAACAGGTTTAAAGGAAAGTTGAGGAAAAAAAAGAGTTCAGCGAGATCGACGATGTCGTCAGCGGCGTTAATGTATTCTTCTTTCTGCTTATGAGTTTCAACTTCCTCTTCCTAAAGAAGAAGTAAAACATCCCTTAACACTGTAACTTCAGCGCTGCTTACAACGAAGTAAAAAAAAATAACTTTGTTTTTTTCCACAAGATATCACTTAATCTTTAAGGGATGACATGTTTTGTCGTTAACTTCAGTTGCATTGCCTGTTAAGTTATCTAAAATTGAACCTCTTTAGGTCCAGAATAATGACCCCCCCCCCCCTTTTTTTAATTGCTCCCAGCTTTTCACGGCCATTTTGGAAATCAAGGCAGAAGCTTGGTGTAGGCACTGAGGAAATACGTGCTGAAGTCAAAGCCTTACAGTAATGTTGGATACTTTGATCATAGATCTAGTGGAAAGCACAGTAAACGGGAGTCCATTCAAGTAGACAGCTTAATAATATTTGCCCAGATTTCCTTTTCAATTCTTTATTCTGATTATTCTGCATTCGTAGGAGGCATCTTCTGGTTCTTTTTAGTTTAACGCTTCATGGTGAAAATAACTATGCATTCAAACATTTTTATCTTCAAAAAAATTGTTTTGACTTTGAGCTTAATTATGGCTTATTCAGTGTTCAAATGATTTCGATATTTAAGTTCTTTCGAATATTGACAAGACTAGTTGTTAATCAACTTGGACATGAGCAAAACCTTTTGATTGTACCCAAAACTGCTTGTCTAACTTCTTTGATCCTCCAACAGTACAAGAACGGGTTTAAAGACACTAACTAGACACCAACGAGGCTTAATTCTGACCCTCTATGACTACTCAATTTCTTCCATTTCTCATACAGGCAGCCCAAACTCTAGCCTCCCACACACACGGTCTTAGAGTGACGAACCCCTAAGAACGTCTGCGTCTAGCAAAAAGGTCACGCGTCACCTAAGGTAAGGAAATATACCTGGATTTTTGAAAACCGGGTTAGCAAAAATTAATCTCGTACCCAGATCTCCCACGGCTCTCACTTTTCAGTGTAAAACAGAGTGAGATCTGGGTACGAGATCAAGCAAAAATATCAAGTCATTCTACTACTTGGCAATTTAAAACAACAAAACTCATTCAAAGGCCGATTAAAAGCCTTTATATGACGCCGGGCAGTGCGTTAATGGTCTCTAGAAGCATTCCAACGAGTCCAAATTTAGAATGACGCAAATTTTAGAACATTTATTCAGTAAACTGACTTCGCGAAGTTTCAAACCGGTGTCATTTCAGTCTAGAAATTTTTAAGTTGAGTGAGCTGCAGCGAAAGAGTGCCTGGTTAGGGCTTACATATCAACTTAAATAGCTAGCAAAACACTACTTTTTTGGCGGTCCGATAAACAGCAGGATTCCGCATGGAATAGACTACAAACTGAATGAAACATAGTGCACAAATTATCACCTTCTTGTCTGCAAAAACCGGCTTATGGGGCAATGCCATTAGAGCCTGCTGAAACTAGACCTAGATTTAATTTTCCTGAGTCGAGAGTTGCTTTTCCAAGGTAGAATCAGCTAAGCTAAACACCGACGAAACAATATTAATGGCTGGCACAGAATATTTTGGCGAAACCGCAGTTCAACCACGCAATCACATAGCTGTCAACAGCATGCGGAAATCACACAATCACACACTTTCGCGGCACTGATAAGACTATCCACAACCACGCATAATGTTCTCACGTTTAACATAAGCGAAATATCATCGAATAACTCGGAAAAACTCAGCCTATTGCCAGATAAACACCTCTGGACCTTTCTCTTACACTCGTCTTATTCAAGTTCCCGGATGTAGAGTCACACGGTCGGCGGATCACCTTAGCCTTGTTTTCACACCCTTGGCCCGGGTCAAAGTTCAGCAGCAATTTTGCTCTCAAGTAATTCATTTGACTCCTAACAGCCTGTTCCCGAGGCCAAAGACTTAGTGGTCACCTTAGAAAAGCGAACAATATCGTACCTTTCTGTCTCAGCCCGGATCAGGGAGATTAATCCGTTTAGCCAAATGAAACGAGAATATAATACGATATTGGACGATGCAGACTCTGCGAATCGTAATAACTTTGTCCCATCTCAGAGCTTTACATGGTGCTCTCCGGGAAACTTTTCTCAAGGTGACCAATATATAAAACTAAAGTGCTAAACAGCACCGAAACCAGCCTTAAGCGCCCCCTGATTTCAAACTGATAACTGTCACTTGTGTTAAAGAAAGAATTGTGGGTAGGGAAAAAAATGGGGGGGGGGGGGCTACATCCACTTCTACACAAATCTCTAACCTCAAGACAAGCCAAAAAAACAAATGACATAAGCAAACAACACAGTAAACAAGCTATTAGACAGCGGAAGTTGAGAAAAATTACAAAATGTTTGCTAACCCGGTTTTCATAACTCCTGGTAGAAATACTTTACACCCTTTCCTCGAAACGGGAGTTTGGGCTGCCTGTGTTTCTCAGATGATATTTTATGGGCTCTCTCCCCAAGCTTCACGATGTTCTGCGATACACGTATTTCTAGTTACTTTGAATTAACATACTTATGTATTTATCACACACATGGCGAATCCTAGCAGTCTGCAGAACGCATGCCATACATGAACCTATAAAGCCAACCCGCCACAAGTCCATCGTAGCTCAGTGGTTAGAGCATCCTACAGGAGTACCGAAGATCATAGGTTCAATTCCTGTCGGGGGTTCAGGGTTTTTTTTTTATCCGTGCTCGGGCACATGTTGATTACATCATTTTTCATTTCTTCACCGAACTGAAAATTTACCATCATATGTTTACACAACATTTTGTTCGCAGTCTTCTTGTCACACGTGCACGTGAACACTTTAAATTATGCACTTACCTTTTATCCAGTTATAAATATCTCGTCAACCTGTCGACAACAGTCACTGTACTTCCTGCATACACTGCATACAGCTTATTAGGGAAGGGCAATTACCTTGTGAATCTGTCCCTAGGTCCTGGGGTAAATTCTTTAAAATTACGAGGAGACTGTTGTGAACACTTTCATACATGGACTTATTTATATGCAGAGTAAAGCCTGGCTTAGGTTAAACGCTGGTTCAGTAAAACGCCTGAAACTCCACTCTTCACTCTAATGTGTTCGATCCTTTATTCTGACTATTTTGCATTAATTCGATGCATCTACTGGTTTTTAATTTAACGCTTCATGATGGAAATAACTATGCAATCAAACATTTTTATTTTCCCAGCAGTTGTTTATTAAGGAGAACCACTGTTTACTAAGGGATTGTTCAGTGTTCAAACAATTTCGATATTTATGTGCTTTCGAATATCGACAATATTAGTTGTTAATCAACTTGGACATGAGCAAAACCTTTTGATTGTACCCAATACTGCTTGTCTAACTTCTTTGATCCTCCAACAGTACAAAAACGGGTTTAAAGACGAGTTAAGGTAAACGAAGGTTGAACTGAGTAGGAAAAATACGTTATTGGGAATACTATTGAGCTGTACTAATATAAGAATAATAAAAAATGGTACATAGCATGCGACTAATGCTATCTGCACCAAAGCTATGCTTATAACAGTCCTTTTATATTGTTCTAAGTTTATTGGAACTCCTCCTGCGTTCGCCGCCATTCCTTGGTGCACGTTCTCTTGCACACTGGTTTGATGTTGCCGAAGTTTAAGAACTATTTTCGTGTAAGAAAACAGTGAGATACTCATGAGAGAGATCATTATTAAAATTATCACTATTCTCGGAAAGATCTTTCCCCTGGTTAAAAATATGACCAACGCAGTTACAAGAACAGTTAACCAGCAACCGGCAACAGCTATACGAACTCTCTTCAGTGTTACAACGTGTCTGTACCTTAATCCCAACAAGAGAGCGAGAAGTCTGTCCACACTGAGGGCAGTCGATATGAGCATCGAAACTCCACAAAAAATAATGGAGAGAATAGCGTTACTGACCATAATTACTTCAACAGTTCTAAAACCATTTAGCAGCTGGTAGGCGAAGAGTGGCTGGGAAGTAAGACCAACGGCCAGATCAGTGATCGCCAGGCATTGAAACAACAGTTTAGTTGGAGGATGAAGAGAAGTTACCGGTACCTTACGAAGGGCAATCAGGATCAGAATGTTGCCCAGAGATGACGTGATGGAGAAAAGAATATTTACAGCTGCGATTATACCTTCAGCTATGTCCACTGAAAATTCAATACCAGGTATTCTAGAGATGTTTAAATTATTGTTTTCAACATCGCCCGGCGTTAAGTTTGCCATATCACGGCACGAGCTGTTCAAATTCAGTGAGAGGTGCTTTAATCTGACTGCTTGACAAAGAAGGTCTGCCTTAAAAGTCTTCTTTGCCCGCTATCACGTGACGAGAAAGGGGCTTTGTGTCAAATTAACATCGTTTGTTTGTCAATAGACAAAGCCACCAAAAACGTCGAGTCTTTAATTAAACGAATGTTTTGCACCTCCGCGCCAATTAATTGCAAACTAACAGTCTTGTTTATAAATTTGTTATTTGCAGCACATTATCACGTCGCACGACAGAGTTGTGCAAATGTCATTTATTTTCCCGGTTAATTTACCCATTTGAACATATTTAATTTATCTAGGACGAAACGCAGCTGCAATGGAAGTTATTAAGAAGCTGTTCTGAAAATTTGACCCTCAGAAGCATCCCAAATTCTTAAGTAATAGTTAAAGGTATACCAGTACTTCAAACGTATGCAAAAAAGCCATTTTTCTGACAATTTTCACTTCGGTAACCCCACTTTAATTCAACATGTTTTCTTGGTGCGAATGAACAAACCTTGTTAGTTTGTATACTCGAGCTTCTTGACGGTCTTTGTCATATACAATTTTAAGTCAATACGTCTTTTTCTTCATTTGATTTTCACTTTAGCTCTAGTCAACAGTTTCTCCGAATAACGCCGATCTTTTCTATTTGTGTATTGTCCATGTATCTATTAGCCGGGTTGCTGTGATCATTGGGAGAAAATAAAGACCATTTCAATAAATAAGGAACACTAAAAACTTACGCTAGGAAAATGGACTAATGGGAACAAAGTGAAAAAAAAAGGGACAGGCTTTACATTTGTCCTCAGTTTCATTTTATTTTAAAAAAGAACTATTATATATTAATATTTGACTTTTTAGCGGTCGCTTCTGTCAGCTTTGCCTGTTATGTTTCCCGAGGGAAACAGTTAACTTTGTTTCCCGAGAAAACATTGAGATTCGAGGGAAAAAGTTTAACTGTTTTTCAAGCTGAGGGACCAGCCTTCAAGTGATTTGTTATACAGCTGGAAATTTTGAAGCTGGAAATTCATTAAACCTCGCAGTATAGGCGATCGTCTTTTAACATTCGCCAGTAACAGTGCACTGTTACGTCTGTTACCGTCTGACGTCATAGATTTTGCAATTTTACTGGCTGAGAGATTTTGCCGGAAAACAGTTTCATTCTTAGTTGTCATGTTGGACCTCGAAGTAACCAATGAGAGCACGCGCTGTTGGAAAGAAATGTCCAGCTCTATAACAATGACTACTAGCTAAGCCGTCTTTTGAGCTAGAAATATTGACACCGCACCTGACTACCATACATAGACTTAATATTTAAACGCAGGCTGAAGCCTGGCGTAAGTTAAACGCCAGTTCAGTAAAACGCCTGAAACTTGCCATATCACGAACTGTTCAAATTCAGTGACATGGTGCTTTAATATGACTGCCTCACAAAGAAGTTCTGCTTAAAAAATGTTCTTTGCCCGCTATCACGTGACGAGAGAGGGAATTTGCGATAACTTAATACATTGTATCGTTTGTTTGTTAGACAAAGCCATAAAAACGTCGAGTCTTTAATTAACCGAATGTTTGGCACCTCCGCGCAAATTAATTGAAATTAATTGCAGACGAGAGAAGGGCTTTGTGTGGAATTAATACTTTGCAGCATTTGTTTGTTAGACAAAGCCATAGAAAACGTCGGGTCTTTTTAAAGGCTCGAGCATCCGGTTAATTAAAATTAACCGAATGTTTGGCACCTCCGCTCAAATTAATTGCAAACTAAAAGTTTTGTTTGTAAATTTGGTATTTACAGCAGTTTACCCATTTGAATGTTTTATCTATCTAGGAAGAAACGCAGCTGAAAAGGAAGTTACCACTGAAGAAGTTCCTCAATGAAAACGTGACCCTCAGAAGCATCCTAAATTTTTAAGCAATAGTTAAAGGCACATCAGGACTTGAAAGCTGTGCAAATAAGCCATTTTTCTGACAATTTTCGCTTTAGTAAACCCGCTTTAATTCAGCATGTTTTCTTGGTGCGAATGAACAAACCTTGGCAGTTTGTATACTTGAGCTTCTTGACGGTGTTTGAAATATGCAATTTTAAGTTAATACTTCTTTTGCTTAATTTGTTTTTCACTTAGCTCTGCAACCATCTGTTTCTCCGAATAACTCGGATCTTTTCTATTTGTGTATTATTATTAGTTTTCTACATTAGCCAGCTTATTCTGATCATTGGAAGAAATAAGGAACCCTAAAAAATTATGCTAGGAAAACTGACTAAGGGGAAAATAGGAATGTAAAAAAGTGACAGGCTTTCCACTTTTCCTCAGTTTTATTTTATTTTAATGCAAGAACTTTTTAACATTTGACTTTTTAACGGTCGCTTCTATTAGCTTTGCATGTTATGTTTCCCGAGGGAAAAACATTGAGATTCAAGGGAAACAAAACTGACTGTTTCCCGAGGGACCAGTCTTTAAGTGATTTGTTATAGAAACGCTGGTTCAGTAAAACACCTGAAACTTCACTCTAATCACCATTTTCACATTGGCAGGAGCTTATTAGTCATGGTCTCCCGAAGTAGTCCATAATGCACCTTGTACACCCCACCCCCCCCCCCGTTTAGAAAACTTTAGGGGTTCTTTTTTTCAAGGCGCTTACCAACTTCTCCCAAGGGTTTTCCCTGGGAGCAAGGTTGCATAGGAACTTTAGATCAGTTAAGATTTCGGAGGAACTGGGGCCCGTTTCTCGAAAGTCCCGATTATTAACGGGCCCGGTACGCTGTCCCCGTTTACATTTAAGATCGAGGTTTTAATAGTTTTGCATCTAACATGATAAAACTATCAGTTAGTGAAACAAAATGGGGCAGTTTTCTAGCTAGGACCTGCGTTCATATTCTTTATATCTCGATTTGAATATTTGATTTCGGGCCCGAAAAGTTACCGGGACTTTCGAGAAACGGCCCCTGCACACCTACCCCTCCCCTAAGCCAACATTTTGACCTTAATGAGAAGTAAGTGTTAATGTTTGCTTAGGGGAGGGGTAGGTGGGCAGTTTCCTAGAAACCTAAATTGATCCGGAACTTTTGCCGTATTTTCCGTTTGCTGAGTTTAAAATTTGTAGCATTGTAGAATTTTGTATTTTAATTTTTCGATTTGGACGGTTTTGGAAGGGAAAATGTTGTCACAAGATTTAAAGCAAAAATTTAAATTTCAACAGCGATGTAACATAAAAATAATTTTCACAGAGCATGACGCCTTAGAATAAAAAAATGTTAATCTTTGATTTTTGAATTTCCCGCTATTTTATTTACATTTTAAAAAACATACGCGCATTTCAAATTGGTTCTATCCCGTCATACTCTTTAAAAATTCATTATTTGATACGTCAGTTAAGTTGCAATTTAAATTCTGCTATTAATAACACATTGGTAGACAATGTGAGCTAGCGGCGTAAGCACCAAACTGATTAATCTCCGCTCTGAACAATTTATTTGATTTGTTTTTTTCCTCTGGATATTGTATTAAAACTAGCATAAAGTACTTCGAAGCTTAACCCCATCGAGTGACTTTTCCTTCAACCTGGCACACTTCTTGCAGCATTCGCAGCAAGATAGAGTCAACTGTTTCAACTGAGTTTTCGGCTGTTCATGGTTCACAACCCAGAATGCAGACGAAGTCAAAGCAAATAAATGCGACTCAAAGCAGGTGTAAATAAAACTACAGTAGAGCCTGGTAACCCGAACTCGGATAACTCGAATTCTGGTTCTTGTAACTCCAGTAGGATGCCATCTCATTTGCTGTTCTTGTTGTATAATATGCATGTAATAACACTAAAAGAACACTATACAACAATTTAACGAAGCAACGAATTATAAGAATGCATAATCATGTTACTGTTTTTGATGAAACAAGTTAAAATTGCACTGTACTATTCGGCTTAAGTAATTAAAAATCTGTAACTATCAGTTGTTAACAAGGCAAACTCAAATATTCAGTTAATCCGGTAACTAGAACCCCGCTGACTCGAACTGTTTTTCGTTTCCCTTCAGCATTCGAGTTCGGTTACCAGGTAGCCTGCGTAACAGGCGCTTGGAAGTAGTGGGCGAAAGAGAGAACGGGCGCGCGCGAGGGAGCCACGCAAGGCTACTTCTTAGTGCCTGCTACGCAGGTTAGTTACCAGGGGCGCTTTCCATTTAGCCAAAATTTCCGGTTCAACCGGATGAAATGCAAATGGAACGCGGGGTTCCAGAGGAAATTTTCCGGAACAGACGGACAACCTTCGGAGCTGCTCCACTTTTTTCGTTGCAACCGATCGGAACGGAAACATGCCGTTCCATTTGCACGACGGCGAGATTTTTCCCGCCATTTCCAATGTCCTGTGAGCGGACGCTCACTGACTTACCTGTAAAATTAATGTTGTTGTAAAAATGGCAGAAAGGAGAGAAGGCGAAAAAACGGTGGGGTTGCAACAAGACGCCCAAAAAGATGACGATGGAGGTACATTTAGACATTTTTAATACTATTCCTAATTGCGGCTGTAACAAGCTACTTCAGTTTAAACATTTTGTATGTTTTTTCACAGGTCTATCACACTCGATGCTTGAACGATGGGAGGACTTTCACGTAAAACTTCTTGTCAGTTGTTGGCAAAAGCATAGGCTTGAATTCGGAAAAGGGAAAGCTACCAAAAAGGACATATTCAACAGAATTGCCAATGAGTTCAATAGTATTTCTACTGACGTGAAGGTCACGGGGGAGCAGTGTAGTCGTAAGTGGCTCAAGCTTGAAGCTTCCCACCACAAGAAGATAACGGACCACAACAACACCACGGGAGCCGACAAGAAAACTTGGAAATACTTCCATGAAATGGAGTCTTGTATCGGGGGAAATCCAAATGTACGACCG